TGATATCTATAATATATTCATTATACCCACACATTCAGTATTTAAAAGCAGAGTGGTATGCACATATAAAACCATAGAGGGCTAAGATAGCTTATTATGATCTTATATTTTATTAAATCATACAAAATGATAACCAAAATATTGCCAATTCCTTACAATACAGCATTTTAAATCTTGTTTAAAATATATTTTTGAGCCACTGGAAAAGTGAATTTCCTCATAGGAATGTTTAATGCCATCAAATACTCTACTTAAACATTAAATTATTACTTTAAAAAGGTGCTGTGTTATTACACATTAAAACAAAACCCAAAGAGATCACCAACCAGAAAACTAACTGCTAACACTATGAGCTGACATTTTAAATGCAGACTGACAAAGTGCTCTATGTAAACTTGAGCAGGAACTGTCACTTTGCTAAGCTGTTCTGTGTGGCCTCAGATCTACTGGTTTTTAAGGAACAGAGCTGCTCCACACTGAATCCACTGGTCTTGGTTGCCACCGCAGGGAACATCAATGTTGGTCACCACACAGTCCCTTTCTGCACTGGTGTAAACTGGTAGAGAGATGCACTCATCCGGGGAGTACGGACCATAGGCTGCCTGTTCAAAAAGAAAAAAATGGTCTGAAAATACAGCTTCATACCAGCTAAAGCATGTTATTAGATAACTAAAACAAATACAAACCTTCCAAATATTAATTTGTATTGATATTAACTATTTCAAGCAAAGATTAATATAGTCAACCCCTACCATTCCATTGCAATCCACTCACTCCCAATCATCGCTCCTTTAATAACCTCCCTTAAGGGCTGGGGAGATTGTTCATTGTCTGAAGTGCTTGCTATGCAAGCAAGAAGACCTGAGTTCAAATCCCCAATGTCCACATAAGAGCTGGATCTGTAGAACAAGTATGTGCAATCCCAGTGACTACGGGGAGAGGGGAGGTGAGACGGGTAATTCCCAGCAGCTGTCAGGCCACCCACCTGCCATGTGCAGTGGTGAGCAACAGGAACCCTGTGTCAAACCTGCTGGAAAGACTACACCTGAGAGATTGTCCTGACCTCTACGCATGCATCAGTCCTGCATTTACATACACACACACAACTTTCCTTTAGCCCCAAATACGATTTAAAAAAATCTTGTAAAATTTTATCTATGAATCTGTAAATATAAAAATAGTATTATCACAAATGAAAACGGGTAACTCCCTAATAGCAGACGAGCATTATCTTGTCCTATTCAAAAACTGCTTCCCCTAAAATCATTATACAAATCCAACTGGAGTCTGGGGCTTCATGTGTCTCTTAAACCAAAGTCTGCGGGGTTCTCGTCCCTCTCCCTTAGCTCTCCCTTTGTAAGGCAGGCACAGCAAGGCCCCAGCATTCCCCAATCTTATCCCTAGCCTCCCTGCACAGTTGATCACGGTGGGCTGACACGCCCCTCTCAGCGAAAATATTGCAAGGGCGGCACAGCCAGTGTCCATCAAGAAGTGTATAAGGCCGTGTCTCCCTCTTTGGATGGTGTAGGCTAATGATCATTACTTCAAGATTATAGAATGGTGCTACATCTTTTCTTCATTTCCAAGCAGTAATGGATCTATGAAGAGGAGCTTCAATTTATCATGTTCTATTCATGTTCCCTTCATCTGTTTTTAAAACAAGTGTTTCCCTGGTAGGACTCAAAGTCACTAATGATCACTTTTTTCTTTTTTTAAAATAAGCCAGTGGACTTAAAACATATTTGATGTGGTGTAATGCAAATCAGTTATCTAATGAGTGTTCAAGTTGTTGGCCTTTATGCATAACTCTAATCTGCTGAGTTTTGATGCCAAAATTCAGCAGCACCACTGTGTTTCTAGCACAACAGGATGGAAGCGCTCACACAATTCCTGTCACAGAAACGAAACTAGCCATTACTGTGATGATTCCCTGGTTCCTTCCAAGAACTATGCTATCACAGATTGTAACTTGGGTACAAGGAAAGGCCAGTTCCTCTCATTCTAGAACCTTTCAGTGACAGGAGAAATGTTTTTAGATGAGTTTATAATGGTACTTCCAATTCAAATTTAACATTAGTGTTTTGCCAACTTACGTGATTTCATTCAACATCATGATGAATGGTTAGAGTCGGGATGGAATTTAAGAACTAGGCTGAGCTGTTCTATAGTATTAGAAATGATGGATCAAAAGCCCATCAAGAATTTACCCATGGTAACCTGGTGAGGAAGTGGCAAAGTCGCCACAGAGTGGATGGCTCAGAAAGGACTTTGGTCTACGAATATTCGCACATAAACACTGTTACTTACTGTATTAGTTACTTTTCTATTGCTGTGATAAGACACTGTGACCAGGGGAACTTAAAAAGGAAGAGTTTATTTGAGCTTATGGTTCCAGGGAGTTCTCTACAATGGCAGGGAGGCTTGGTGGCAAAGGTGGCCCATACAGAAAGCTTAGCGCTCACATCCTCAAGCAGCCACACGAATCAGAGAGTGACTAGAAATCTGGCAAGGCTTAAGAACTCTCAAAGTCCACCCCCAGTGATGTGCTTCCCCCAGCACGGCCCCATCTCCTAAAGGTTCCATGACCCTCCCCAAGCAGCACCATAAACTGGGGACCTAGTGTTCAACTACTTGGAGCCTATGGAGGACATTCTCATTCAAACCACCACAGTTACTATTATCTTTCAAAACAAAAGACAACAGCATTTATGGGAATACATCTTTTTAGGGTATGGAGTACTTGCCTAGAAGTTTCTCTCCAGGTCATGTGACCCTTGCATAGGTCACAGTTGGAAGTTGAAGGCTTAGTATATACACATCTTACTCTTTGGATTGCCCTTTTCCTTCCTTTCTACCAATTGTGGAATCATCCATAATAGTAATATTCAGCTTGTTAGCACCTATTTGCCTGTACTGGGTGGTGTTATGATATTTTTCTTTGGTTTTTTTTTGAGGGGGGGTCTTTTTGAGACAGGGTCTCCCTGTAGGTCTAGCTGGCCTGGAACTCACTATGTAGACCAAGCTGACCTTGAACTCACAGCTGCCTGCCTGGACTAAAGGCATGTGCCACCACACCTGGCTTCAAGGAAGTATTTTTAATACTACCTTAAGTCTTAATGAGCATTACACAAACTTTATCTTTTCCAACACTCCACCCAGTAGAAAAATTGTTATAATTTCTCACATCTTTGACATAAATTGCTTGTCTCTTGGACATTGCTGATGTATTTATAATAAAATCCACTCTTTATGCAGACTCATCCTCCAAAATAAACATGCCATCCATCCCGAGTCTCTCTGAATAGCTCCATGTTTGCATCAATAGCTGTCGGCTACTTCTCCACGCAGTTAACAGTATTTGGTATCTTGTGTTGTAGCTAAAATTGATGAGATTAAGTATTTTAGTACATGCACAAATAGAGAACCACTCTTCACAGCAGCCTGAAATTCAGATTAGGAAATGCACACATATCAATGTGCTTTAGAATATTAAATTTAAAATAAAAGAGTCCTCTGGGATGTCAACCTAAAAAGGATTCACGAGAATGAATTCCAAGTTGGACTGCAGAAAATATGCAGGGATTGAAGCAAAGAGAACTTTCAGATATTATTTGTCACTAAGTCCTTTCATCTCCAATTCTGCTGTAGGATTCAGGCCTGAGACTGTTAATCACCCCATGCGGGCTTTCTTCTCATGTCACTTCTAGAACCTTTACAAAGAGCAGACATGCATTATGTGATTGATGGACTAAAGAGACCTGAATCTGAGAATGCTGGTTCTCAAGGCCAGGAAAGGTCTTAAACTATCCTTCTTGGCCACCCTTTTCGCGTCCCTTTACTCTGGAGACCCAAGAAACCGAAGCAATGCAGTGAGATACTCTGCATACTGTTTCTGGTCAGGAGACTGTCCCTGAATTTCTTCATTTTGATACTAATACAGTTCCTTTTACATGAGAAGCTTAACAGTAATGCACAGGTGATGTGTGGTGTGTTCACTATCAGCATACTGGCTCCAAATCCCTCCAAGTCACTTGTAGCTGTGGGTTTCGCATGTTGTATGGGGAGGTGGACAAGTCTTTGTCCCCAAACCTACAGCATTTTAGAGCAAAGTACCACTGTGGCTTCTTGACATTTTGCGTGGCATTTCTCAAAATCTCCAGAGTGGTAAATGTTATTACGTTTATGAGAAAGTTGAGAGGATTTGCTCTAAGATGCCAGGTAGAAGCAGAGCTCAGGATCAGGTATTCTAAGGGTTATCACAGTTCCTCTGCATACTGCTTAATTAAATTACATTCTATGACCCAGTTCCCACTTTAATAAGTTTACTTTAATAGGCCAAAGCAGTAGACCCTGCTAGACTAAAATGTTTGGATAAAATTAAAATTTTATTAAAACTATTAACAAATATACTGTATTAAATTAATGCAGTGTAATTTACAATATACATTATTGTGTAACAAAAAGTTACTAATTAAAAATCTATGTACTATGATTGCATTAATGTGTTTGCATACAATAAGAAACTTGTTCAGTTGGCTCGGTTCAATACTGAAGCCAAAGTTTGAAGTTTTATGTTAGTTTGGCCCAATTACTTTTCAGAGATAGAAACTGTGTTATGTAAATAAGCATGTTGCATAAGTTTTCTCTTTCTCTGATGTGATCAAGAAAAGTTTGAATATAAAGACTATGCAAAGGAGCTGGTGGAGAGGGCAAGTTTCTGCTGGAATGAAGCTCTTTAGGATATTAGATAATGTGGAACTTATGAGAAAAACCTCCATCTGGCTTAAAATGTTTAGTCTGCAAAGCAATGAAGTATATGATTTCACCCAAGCTTACTAAAAGAACTCTAGACTTTCTGCAAAGAAGTCGCTGTGGGAGGGAGACACGGTGACTTCACCAGCGTCTTAACATGATATGCAGGCTTCCTCTGACTGTCCTTCATACTAAGAATACAGTGAAATGTGGACCTTTCTTTTCCACTGCAAATTGAGTAAAAATAGCCACAGCTGACCTAGAAAACACTTTAATGAAAAAAATCACACCTAACTGAAGCAGCAGTTGGTGAGCCTGCCTAGTCTATCCTTGTTCCGTCTCACGGTGACTTGTCACTTGGGCATGTATAACCTTCTCCATTTCTCTACGCTTACCCAACCTTCCCTTCTTGCCTCACAGTAGAGGTAAGCCTGGTGTCTCTGTAACCAGAGTATCTGTTATGTGATAATGCTGCAGGTATTTAAGAACCAAAAGCACCAGTAAACTATAAAGAACTATGTGAAATAGGGTAATTATTATCATAAAAAAATTTTAAAATACAGGCAAGAGGATAAATTAGATCAGCCCTGTGTGAGCTGCTGAGTGTCTCACATATACAGGTGTTTCTCACACACAGGACTGTCTCTAAGCCTCAACAAGGTCCCACAGCATCACCACCTCCACTTATAAATGTGGAAACTGCTTCAGTGAGATTGCTTGGCCTAAATCATGATTTTGGGAGCTGGGACTAGAATTCTGTTGGTCTCTAAACTTTTATGTTCAGAAACTCTCAGCAATATGCCTGGCATCCTTCACTGGTTGGGGAGAGGATCTGAAAGCAGCAGGACGTGTGGAGAGGCTCAGTGTGGTGTAGGGAGGAGGGCAAGTGCCAGGCTGTTTGCCAGTACATGCCAAGGAAAATTACAGAAGCTGAGGGGGAAATAGCTTATCCAAAATTGTTGGTCTCTAAACTTTTATGTTCAGAAACTCTCAGCAATATGCCTGGCATCCTTCACTGGTTGGGGAGAGGATCTGAAAGCAGCAGGACGTGTGGAGAGGCTCAGTGTGGTGTAGGGAGGAGGGCAAGTGCCAGGCTGTTTGCCAGTACATGCCAAGGAAAATTACAGAAGCTGAGGGGGAAATAGCTTATCCAAAATGTTTTTTTTTTTTTTAATTTTAATTAAAAGAAGCATTTCATTACAACAGCATTAACCTATTCAATAACATTTTTCTGAGCTAGGGTACATCTCTTTCAAAATTGGCTGTACATTTCTAGGTTTACAGATGAATTATTACGCTTATATAATCTTTTACTCATTATAAACTCTATAAGACATAAAATTAAATGAGGTTCCAACGTTTAAAAAAGATCTCCACTGCATTGTAAAAACACACAGTTTCATACAGAAAAATTCATTCCAAGCCTATTGACATTGAGACGTTTTCACATACATTTCTAATCTCTATATACATGACTATCAC